TGCTAATTAAAAAATAATCATAATTCGAATCTTAATTCAAATCTGAAGTTCTTTTATCTTTCAAATGTAACTTCAGAAATTCAAATCTTATGTTCCTTTATTGAATGCAACTTCAAATATTCGAATCTTAAGTAATTCACTCTATTGAATGCAACTTTAGATTTCGAATCCTAAATTCTGACACATAAACTCATTTTTCGATTTTCAACAATTCAATACACGATTCAATGCCCAAATCTACTTTAAATGAGCTCAAATTTGAAACATAACTTTCAAATATCATAAATAACAAATCTCGATCATAAAATTATCAAAACAACAATAAATTTAGCAAACCCATTTTGCAACTAAAAAGAAGAAGAAAACAAAATTAAGAAAAAGAGAAAAATGCATGTTTCTGAAGTTATCTAAAAATTGGGTATCAGTTAAACTTTTTCTAAAAAGTGGATATAAATTCAACGGATAACGCAAAATTGGGTGCCACATAAAAATTTTGCCTTTCACTATACTTGTTGGGCCCGGGCACATCCCGGGCTAATTGTAACTAGTATATATAAGTATTATACATTAGTATGCTATTTTTAATTTAAATTGTTGGGTATGCGGCAATTTAGGTTAATTCTTCTTTTCTTTTTGTTAAGGTCCCGGCAAGAATGCGGTGTGTTTTAAAACAAGTCTTTTAGTTTGAAAAAGCTACTTTTATAAGGAAAAATTTAGAAGCAATTCCATTTTGAAGAACTTTCAACAAGTTCTGTTATTCCCGCACGAGAAAAAGAATAAAATAAATACTCCTATTTGGTTTGGACCAAGTTTGACGCCAATACATGTAACCCGTGGAGCTATAAACTAATGAAAAAACTATTGTTGAATAAAATAAAATTCATAATGCATCTTCGGGGTGATATGATTTAGTCCAAAGAAATGCAATAGGATCACATTATATAACTTTTGTGAGAATTTAAAGTAAAATGATTAATTCAAATTTAAGAATAACATTAAATGTTTTTGTTAAAAGGAAAGTGGGATATTAGCTAGTATACGGTTATATCCGTCGCATATATTCAACTATGTACAGTATGTATCATATATATAAATATATATATATATATATATATATATATATATATGCATTTTTTGAATGTATACCGTTTTTAAATTATTTTTAGTAATTTTATTCACTTGTAATATAAAGAAAATAATACTATCAAGTCATCTAAAACATATATTTACAAATAACAATCCATAGAAATAACTAGTAACTGAAAAATAG